TTAATATAATTTAACCAAGTTTTACTTTTACCATTTAGATGTCTGTCTAAACTCTTGATTTCGTTCAGCAACCTTAGATGAGACAAATAAAAAATTCAAAGCCAGAACCAACATAAAAGCTAAGATTATTTTTTTTTTCTTTTGTTTCATTATATGCTACATGCTTGAGCTATTAGCTAATAATTCTAAACTTTTAGATGTATCATCATTATGTAATTCACATTGTTCACAAGTAATTGTTCGTTTGCCAGGTCCAGGTCGACGATTTAAATGCCCACCATGAAGTTCATAACAATTGTAACAAATATATCAGGTTGTTGTAACTTCATCAAAAATTTGTTTGAAAACATCTCGGTATTCATATATTGCATTACATGTATAAAGACCAATATATAGGACTTGAATGTTTTTACCCCATATATTCCACAAATGATTTTTACACCCAATTCCACGACTAAAAAAATAAAAATCTTTATGACAAAATAAACAGCGTTGATGGCAAATCCTACTTTGTTTAGGCTCTTGTAACTGCTTTGCAAATGCTTTATAATTTTTTAGATCATAATTAAAATGCTTTATATATACTCCCAATAGTGTTCCTTTTGATTGAAATTCCGATGCTATATTTTCATCAATTTGCCAGGTTCCAACTAATTGACATATATTTTTAAGATTTGTAATTTGACCACATGTTTGTAATTCATTATCTATATAATCAATTAAAACACATGGTGAAAAATGTGTATTTACAGCAGGGTCAAGGTTATATGCAGCTTCTTCAACAGGTACTGATGGAGAAACAGGTGTTGATGGAAGTGAAGAAGTAACAGATGTTGATGGAAGTGAAGAAGTAACAGATGTTGATGGAAGTGAAGGAGTAACAGATGTTGATAAAAGTGAAGGAGTAACAGATGTTGATAGAAGTGAAGAAGTAACGGATGTTAATGAAAGTGAAGGAGTAATGGATGTTGATAGAGGTGAAGGAGTAACAGACATTGATGTTAATGAAGGTAGAGGAAAAACTTGGTCTTCAAAATATGTTTCAAAATCATTATCATCTTCATTATTTGCTATCTCTTGTTCAAATATTGATTGCGCATCATTATAGTTTTCTTGATTAAATTCAAACATTTCTAAGTCAGGAAGTTCATTATATATAATATTAGTTGGCTTATAAAATTGAGCACCTGAGGTTGTATCAAAATTCTTTTGACTATCAGGATATAAAGTGCCTTTTTATTAAAAGCCAAATTTTCTTCCATCTTAATTTAAATCATAAACTGAATTTTGTGTTAACTTTAATATTGAGATTCTTGTAAAAAAGAAAAAAATGGTAAGTATAAGAAATAAAATTGTATAAATTTACTTTCGAACTGTAAGCCAAGCCACTTTACATCATGTATTACATATATAACATCCCTTAATATATATAAGGAAAAGTTAGCAAATTTGCATTTTCTATATAATTTTTAAATTATATATGCATCCTGCAGATTCTATAGTTAAAAATGTTATACAACATGATCAGTGAACATGCATACCGACTGTTAGGATCATCTGAAGCATCATCACACTATCTATTCCACAAGTCTCAGACATCCTTTTCATAAAAGCTAATTGGTTCTATAGTATTATCTATATAGTTAGGATTAATTTTCTGTACACCTTCATTATATGCAATAATTTTTCAAATAAAAAATCTGTGGTGACTTGTTTAAATAATATATGTATAATTTTTCAAATAAAAATTCTGTGCATGGATGAATCAGATGATTATCATTGATACAATCAGTTTTGGTTTACTTTAAAAGTCTATTTACGCATATTCGTTCAATGTTTTTAACTTATAAATTTTTCTTTTTTTTCATACAATAACTGAAGTTTTTATAACAAACTATAGTTTTAATGATAACTTTGCCAGTCACTTCAACTGAATATTTACTATTAGAACATATATTTATTCAATAAAAAACTATTTCCTTATCAAACCTTAGAATAATATACGCCTCTTGAAGTATTGAACCAATTGGAATATCGTTATACTCTTTTATATTGTATAGTTGTAGGCATCCATAAAGTTTAGGTTCTATTTGATTAATATCATATCAGCAGATAAAAGCGAGTTCATATGATTCTTTGTATGAGTCCTGAAAAAATTTAAACAGTAGCAATACCTTAAATATATTTATTCCATTATTTACCAATTTAAAAATTACATTTTAATATTCTTTAAAGTTCCGTCACTTACTTTTCCATATCAGACGCCATCATCCAAATTATAGTGATCTTGATCTTCTGCAAGAATTACCACCACATCGCTAAAATATTCTTTATTCTGAAATTCTTTGGAGATTCTTAAAATCTTTTCACTTGCTAAATGGACTGATTCATAGATTTTGATATAAAGTCATCATTTTCTGAATCCTGTGAAGATGTATTTAGAAAGATATTTAGAGCTAAAACTATTTGAATAATCCATCGATAAAATTCGGATGTGATAGATTTTCTGATTTTTTAAAATATTTATTTTTTGATTAATAGCATCTAAACGTAACTCCAAAAAAAATTTTCCAAAACCTTCAGCTTTATGATGAATAACCTTACTGATTGTTGGAGCAGATTCATTACATTTTGCCTATAAAATTAATGTCAGTATTAAGATTTAATTATTTTGATTCATTCAAAGTACTATGGTTATTGAAGAACTTTATAATTTTATTGCCAATATTATTAGAGATATTACCCTCTATTACCAACTCCATAAAGTCATGATACGTATCGTTTAAATACTTTGCAATATATTCTGGCTTATTTTTTCCTTTAATAGTATCCAAAGCATCATCTATTGATACTCTCTGAAGATATTCAGAATCAATATCATGATCTAGATCCACTTGTAAGTTCATTTCCATCTCTTCAACATTTTCTTCTATATTCTCTTCGCTTTCTGATTCTACTTGACTTCGTAAGTAATACCATTGTTTACTTTTGTATGACGTGAAGCTTTCTGTGAAGGAAGATTCTGGTGGTCTTATAATCAGTATTTTCCACAAACTCGAATAGTGCCTTGTAATTGGTATACTATCCTACAAGCTCGAATCGTGCTTTAGAATTTATATTGATTGTTCTGAGTAATATTTAAGAAAGAGACGTTTTACTATGATGTATAGTATTAGCATGTGGTATCAATCCACTTTGTGTTGTAAAATCTCTTTTACAAATTCTGCAATGAATTTCATTCATTACATAAAATATATTTGACTGCAAATCAACGAAAATTTCGGTATTATGGTTCAAGTAATTAAATATGATTAATTAATTTTCAAGATGAATTAAAAAAATAATAAAAGAATTTTTCATTTAATTAATTTCAGGTGATTTAACTGAATAATTTTCTTCAAAGTATTTTAATCAATACTTATCAGGCGAATCAATCAATTTTTTAACTTTAATCAATACTTGTCAGGCAGACCAATTAATGTCATTTCATTAATTTTATTAGGTAATTTAACTGATCTTTCTCGAAGTTTTAATATTTTTTTAATGATACTTTTTTATTTTGTAGTAATTTCTTCGATTATTTTCAATATTAACAATTGAATATGACTACTAGAAAATCAAAAAATAAGACTGGAAATAAGTTTTCACAATTGTTGTCCCTAGGTAAGTAATCGATAATTTTGATGTATTTATTTATTTATTTAATGCGTTTGATTTTCTACATTTTTAAAAGGATCAAAATCAGCTGATAATATCGAAGGAACAGTTCAAAGAACTTTGTATGACAGACCACACAGACAAACGCCTTTGGCTCCTGTTGCTATTGCAGAGAAGGATCAAGAAATTTAACCCAAAAAATCAGTTGAATTGCTAAATAAAGACGTAGAAATGGAGCGTAGAAGATCAGATGAAATGTTAAGCTCTCAAAATAATGAACCAGAAATAGAACAAGATTCTTCGCAAAGAAAACAAAGGAACTTGACGATTATGATTGCGAAAGATATGGTTATGATGATCTTAACAATGATGAGTTGGAAGAAACTAGAGTTTATATATCACTGCACAGATTGATACAGTCTATTATAAAGAAAAGCATATCCAATAGATACCTTACAAAAGAAGATTTTGATTATACAATAAACATATTGAATAATAAAATTGATTCAATTTATAAGCTTATTAGATATGTTAGTAACAAACAAAGTGAAATGAGTAAAGATATAAAAAACTCGTTGTACTCAAAAAGCTCTCTGAAGATTTTTGGAATGTTAGTAATTCAATACATATCACAGTTCTGTTTGATTTTTATTATACTTCTTAAGATTTTAATTTTTATAACGTACGTTTAGAGAAGTAGTCAAGAAATTATTACCCACCATTTTGTTCCCTTCAGTTAGTGAATTCCGCAAGGTATTGGAAAAATATCTTTCTGAGCACGCTGAACATTTCATAGAAAGTATTGGTAGAAATTGTTGGATTTTCATGTTCAAAGATAAGCTATTGCGGAAAGTAAGTTAAAATCTGAAAAATCTTAAATAACTAAAGAAGTTCAATGATTATGATAATTTTTATTTTATATATTTCAGATCAAAAACAAATGTCGTAGTAAACGAAATGACATCATGTCAGGTATTCATCATGCAATGTTCATTAATCTCAGCGAAAGATTGGATTATATTGATAACAATACATTAGTAGCAAAAAATCATTAAATGGAAATCTAGCGAAAAAATAAAAGCCGCTTATAAAGCGCTTTATACAGAAAGTGCATTACTAATGAGAGTAGGCTATTCAGTCTTTAAGCAATATAAAAACAAGGAATTTTCGACAACACATTACGCCTATATTTTCATTATTTGTGATATTCTCCTAAATCCAAAAAGCCTTAGAATAAAATGTAATGATAAATATGTGGTTAAACAAGTCAATGCCTTTCTGATAAATATATTCGCAGTATTTCGAATATTTGCTAATATTGATTTCAAAATTATTCATTAAATAGCGCACTATCGAAAATGACGAGACTGTTACTTCTAAGATCATGGAACAGATAGCTGACAAGGAAGCTGAAGCTATTGATGCACGTAAAAAGCAAAAAAAAACATCACAAATTAGTAGAAGTAAAGCAGCAATAGATGATGATGATGACTATGACAACTTGATAAGCTAAAATTTATCAATATATCTCTGCACTTTTAATTAATTTAAAAAATTAACGAGTATCTTATATTTGTAGGTTGCTGGATTGAATTAAAACTTCTAGGTTTTATTAGTTTTTTAGTTTTTTAAATATATTTTAAATTGCGTAAGATATTAATAAATAAATTCTATAAA